AAGAAAATCAGCTATATCTAGTGATTATGTTGTGTATCTTCAAGAAACAGACTACAACATTGGAGCCGAAAATGATCCTGAAACGTTTTTACAAGCCATGAGTTCTAAGGAATCGGACTTGTGGCATAATGCCATGAGAGATGAGATGGATTCTATGGCATCAAATCGAGTCTGGGATCTCGTTGAGTTGCCTAATGGTGTAAAATCCATTGGATGTAAATGGGTTTTCAAAACAAAGAAAGACTCACAAGGTAACATTGAGAGACATAAGACAAGACTCATTGTCAAAGGGTTCACTCAGATGGAGGGAATTGACTATACAGAAACATTTTCTCTTGTATATAAAAAAGATTCTCTCCGAGTAATTATGGCATTGGAAGCTCATTTTGATTTTGAGTTACAATAAATAGATGTGAAAATGACATTCCTTAATGGTGATCTAGAGGAAGAGGTTTACATGAAACAACTAGAAGTATTCTTCTCTAGTGATGTTGAGCACTTGGTGCAAGTACGGTTTGAAACAAGCCTCCCGACACTGGTATTTGAAATTTCATGAAGTTATTACTTCATTTGGTTTTGAAGAAAACGCCATGGATCAATGTTTATACCAGAATGTTAGTAAGAGTAAAATTTGTTTTCTTGTACTGTATGTGGATGATATATTACTTGCAACCAATGATAGGGTTTTACTTTATGAGGTGAAATAATTCCTCTCCAAAAACTTTGATATAAAGGATGTGGATGAGACATCTTATCTCATTGGCATTAAGATCCATAAGGACAGATCTTGATGTATTTTGGGTTTGTCTCAAGAGACCTATATCAATAAAGTTCTAGAGAGATTTCACATGAAGAATTGTTCACCAAGTATAGCAGTGAAGGGTGATAGATTCTAGATTCGATTTGAGTCAGTGCCCGAAAAATAATTTTGAGCGGGAACACATGAAGAACACTCCATATGCTTCAGCTGTTGGAAGCCTTATGTATGCTCAGGTTTGTACCATACCTGACATAGCATTTGTTGTTGGAGTGTTGAGAAGATATCATAGCAATCCAGGTATAGACCACTAGAAAGCTGCAAAGAAAGTAATGAGATATCTTCAAGGTACAAAGGACTACATGCTCATGTACAAACGAACTAATAATTTGGAGGTGATTGGCTACTCCGATTCAGACTAAACTGGCTGCATTGACTCAAGAAAATCAACATCTGATTATATTTTCATGCTAGCTGGTGGAGCTGTTTCTTGGAGAAGCGCTAAGCAGACCTTGACTGCAGCTGAATTGGTATCCTGTTTTGAGGCTACCTCACATGGTGTATGGTTGAAGAGTTTCATATCTGAGCTTAGAGTCGTGGACTCTATTTCAAGACCATTAAAGTTGTACTGTGACAACTCAGCTGCAGTATTTATGACTAAGAACAATAAGAGTGGAAGTTGAAGTAAACACATCGACATTAAATACTTAGCCATAAGAGAACGTGTTAAGGAAAAGAAAGTGGTCATTGAACACGTTAGCACTGAGTTGGTGATTGCTGATCCTTTGACTAAAGGCATGCCACCAAAGAATTTTAAGGATCATGTAGTACGAATGAGACTTGGTTCCATAATGTGATTTACATTGTACGAACATTTATTGTTTTAATGAAACTCTTAATTTAGTTGATGTTTTCTCATATGGTTTTGTGCGCATATTTATTCATTCGTTTATTTTGAGAAATCTCATTTGGTTTGGACTTGGAATAGACATATTGTTTATTCATTAAGTTGTATGGGCTAGTGTTGAGAGACTTGATATAGTGTAATACATGGAAGATAATACTCACTATAAGAGGACTTATCGCCATGATTCAAATATGCTGCTTCTTTATATGGTGTGTGTTGGACTATATGGACCAAGTGGGAGAATGTTGGGATTTTTTCAATACCTATTGGAATTCCCAAATTAATTTCAATACCCATTGGAATTTCCAAATCAATTAAAACTCTATTTTAATTTTAACAATCGTTGGAATTCTTTGGTGTTTTTAAGAGAAATAAATTTCAGAATGTGGTTCATATAGTGTCTAAGTTCAACACGTGAATTTAGTAACATTCCATAAGGTGCTCACATCTATTGAACTCTGTGATGGGCAGAGCACTATAAATTAGATCTTATGTTTGTTGTTTTGGTCCCTAATCTTGCTCCTCTTTATTTTATTTGCACCATCGGGTTGTGAGTGAGAAAAGCTTAGAAGATCTGTAACAAAAAAATTGTCGTGTGAGTTGTGAGTGTCGACTATGTTCGTATAAGTTATGGCTGGAGGTATGTATGATCCTATCTCGCTTCCGCTTATCGATTCAAATATGTTTGTAGATCGAATAAAGTTGTAAAATATATTACAGATCAAAGTGTAAAGAATGAGAGCCCTTTTTTTAAAAAAAAGAAAGAATTTCTGTGTAGTTTTGGTAATATTTTTTTGTAACTTATAAAGTAAGGAGGTAGAAATTTTAAGCTTATTGGTCTTGAGAGGTGTGCAAATGATGATGTGCCTGAATTAGAAAAATGATGAATGATCATTCGAAAAATTTTACCCTCCTAGTCTTTGGGTAGTTCTTATAAAGTCTTTGTGCTAACATTGGTTAAATATTCAAAAGTTTTTTTGCCATTATGTGCGACATGTTTTTTTTAATTGCTTGTTTTGATGTCTTTTTCTTAACCCCTCATTCTCTTAGGCTTCGGGCAATAATGAATGTCATGAGGATAAGAATGATGTATATGTAACCTAACAACAATGGCCAGTCATTCTCAATCCGACTTGTGTTTTTCTATGTTTTATTGGTGTTATGCATCACTTATATGATGTTTCACTTGGGCTTTTGATAATTCTAATTTTTGTCCATGCATACAATGAAGCCTTTTATATGCGAACTTAGTCTCATTTAGTCAGTAAAATAAAAATAAGAATAAGAATAAAAATAAAAATAAAAATAAAATGGATGACAGCATTTAAATTTGATTGATAAACTTATAGAAATGTTTTCTATTTTGTTTTAATAATTAGTGCTGTAATATTAATTCTTGTGGAAAGTATTTTGAGCCCAAACAAGCATAATTATACACGCCAATTTACACTTACACGTGCGCCGAAGTAATATTAAAAGCACTTTGGAGCCAAAATTTTACCTAGTTGCAGGAAAAGACAAGCTAGTGGGCTTGATAGAATAAAAGTAGTATTATACTCAGCAAACATGAAACTCTAGAAATTAGAGAATTGACTATTTTCCTCTTAAAATTGACAAAAGAAGCCATTCTATTATCTTGAAATTGTAAACACAATTAAGAAAACATATCACCTTCGTCGGATAGCTCCCACTTTCATAAAATAATAATAAATCATTACCCAACCTTCCTTGCACTTGGGATTTTCTAAGGAAACCAAACCATTCACATCCTTCTTGTACATTAAAGAACTTCTAGAGAGTCAACAAATCCAGAAGTTAAATAAAAAACAAACTGAAGGAACTCTTGAACACACACTTACATCTACATTAAATAATCTTCTGCTTAGTTCAGATTAGCAAAAATATGCTTTGATTTAATTAAATCTATTATATATTTATCGCAAAATTAATCTAAGAAGTCTAATATTCATACCAACTAAATTTAAAGATATAAAAGAGTCTCCTCACAAGTAATTACAAGGTGATAAGCTGATAAGAAACTAAGTACTGCATGCAATTCAATCATAGAAAGTACTAGAGAGATGATCATAATAAGAACTGTCCTAGCTATATTAGATTAATTGCCAGCCAGCTAGAACAAAAACTAGCAAGTAGTGCATAAACAATCATTAACTAATATAAAAGTAGCTAGAGATTAGAAGAAAAAAAAAAGGATCATTTCTACGCATATATAAAACTGGCTAGATGGCTAGTTTGATATCATCAAGCACTCATGTATCATACGAAATATGATCACATGAGCAAGCTCCTGATAATGTCTTCCAGATCAGTGTCCTGAAGAAGCTCAGAAAGCCTCTCGCTGAGTCCGTCGACTTCCTTATGCAAGCTTCTTATATAATTGCATGTCTCCTCCAACACTCTTGATACCGATGCCTGCACCATTCATTACACAATTCATCACTTAAGGTTTTCTCAAACAATACTTTTATTTAACACTTTCTTAGCTAGATAATAATATAGGCAAGGATGGTTCGTACGTGGAACATTATTTAAACCTAATGTATATGTTATGTTAAATTACAGAAAATATTAAGAACGGTTATTTAGAAATGTGAATGATGGTGTAGATCTTTTTCATAACAAACGTTCCAAAGTATACACTGTCAACAGCACAGATCAAAAAACATTTCACCTATATTTTATTTTTGTTTATTATTACTAACCTTAATATATATA